AAATATTATGAACCTGGTGTCTTTAATGTTATTAACAAAAAGTAATTATGGTAGAAGGAGAATGTTAACTTTCATCACTAAAGAACATAAGACTTGTTCATGACCAATGTTCTACAAATGTTCAACAAAAACCCTTCAATATTAAAAAATCTTCATTTGTGAAAAGTTCACTGTAAGTTTATAGGCTAAATACCAACCCCTGTTTTGTCGTCTACTTGTGTTAGAAAACTAGACATGATTGGGTTGGATAAGGGAGCTTAAGTTGAGGCAAGAAAAAGGGAACAAAGGAACGGAGATGGTTTTTCAGTGACAATGGTAGTGGTTCTACCTGAGAATAGGAAATTGGTCTTCTCCTTTCTATGGCCACATTAGACAATGCATAGGAATAGGAAAACCGGATTCTTGCCAGCTGTACTTAGTCTATGCCATTTTGTGTCTGACAGTGGGAGACCTAATGTTGGGGCAGGGTCTACTTATCCTCATTTATACAGATCTCTTCCAAAACTGCCCTTGTTTATGATTTTGTAGCAAGTACAAATGTGAACTGCAGTAAGGTACTCCCTACCCCTGAAAAAGAGACCAGCAGTAATCATAGTATAGCAGAAAACTGATAACAACTTGGTGTCCTGAAATTCTTTACAAAAGGGCCTAAAAATCTGTAAAAGCATATAAGGTGGCATTCATTTGGGCAATTTTTACTAATTTAGCATAAACAAATGTTGATATGGTATTGGTTATTAAACAATTGTTATTGTTATTGAGCTATCTTAGCTCCAGATTCACCCTTTACTTTCCTCTGTGATGCTATGGCTCAGACCCTGCAAACTACATTTTTCCTATGCCAGCTGGTGTCTCACTAGGTTCCACCAATAAAGGGTGTTAGAGGGAGATGAAGACAGGAGAAGGGGAGAGAGGACTTCCTCCCTTCTGTTTGCTCGCAGTCTCTGTCATTGTTACCCCAACAATACGCAACAGCCCTTTGCTCCAGCAGCAGCAATCAATCTCAGCCTTGAGCTTCTTTTGGCACTCCTCCACCTCCCAAACCAGCCTCATCATATCCCTCCCAGTAGTAGTAGGACCAGTTGGAAGCAGCCTCTTAGGCATCTGAGCTGCAGCTCAGCTGGGTCATTCTGCTGAGCTTCTGAGACCTGATAGTCCAGCTTCGATTCTTCTTTGTCACTAGCCCTAGGGGCGGCAGCTGCTCTCTACAGTTATCACCTCTGGGCTACTTCACTGTTCCCTTTTTGCTTTTTTAGTCCATCAATACCCAATACTAAATTCTCCCTGTTGTAATATCTTGTGATTTCTGTTTTCTTGACTATTATGTCTCCAAACCTTCCCCAAAGAAACCCCCAGTCATTAGTAGGGTGTCTGTGCTTTTGTGAAAATATTAACCTTCAGATTTCCCAGGAATTACTAGACACTGGCTCTTGATAGAAATTATCCAGATTGAAGCACAGAAAGAAAAAGGTTTGAAAAAAAATGAACACACCCTGGAATGACCTGTACTAAGGCCTAAGAAGTGTAGCTGAAGTGTAAGTGTCATTTCAAAAGAAGAGAGAGAGAATGGGGCAGAAAAGAGTATTTGAAGAAATATCTGCTAAAAGTTTTCCAAATTTGATAAGAGGAAACAACAATAGCAATCCAAAAATCTAGGGAAATAAGTGAACCCAAGCAGGATAAATGCACAGAAAACTACACCTAGAAACAGTGTAACTGCTGATGAAGACAAAGAAACAAAATCTTAAAAGCAGCCAGAGAAAAATATATATGACATACAGGAAAACAGTGATAAGAATTACAGCTGGCTTGTCATCAGAAACAACGGAGGCCAGAAAACAACAGAATGACATTTTAAAGTGCTGCAAGAAAACCCTTTGATGGTTTCTCATTGCCTGTAGGATAAAGTCTAAGGTCCTTAACTTCCACAACCCACTATTGCTCACATTTCTAATCATCTGTGCCGGCAATACTCCACCGTTGCTTAATACCTTTTTTACGCAGGCCTCTCTATGTGGAAAGCCCTTCTCTTCTTTGCCTATTCAATTCTCTGACTAGCCTGACCACACAACTCCCCTCCCACTGTGGCTTAACTTCCCCTGTGTGTATCTATTGCTGTATTTACTACATTAATAATAAGTGTCTGTTTAAATCTCATTCTCTGACACTAGATTGAGCTCCTTTAAGATGGATCTTTAGATCTGTAGTACCTATTGTAGCGCTTATTACAAAGTAGACTCTTAATAAATTTTTGTTGAATTAATTCCCAGAAAAGTATAACAATACTCAATCCAGAAATTAAATTTAGTTACCAGGGTCCACTAATTTCTAGACATCATAGTCAAGCCTGTGATTAGTTACTTCTTGCTGTTTAGTAGGTAGGGCTTTTTTTTTGTCCTAAACAGTCCTGTCTGACAGTGATGCTAAACCAGATCATTCTCTCTAATAATTTCTAACTAACATAAGTTTCTAACTAACATAAGTTAGAAATGATACCATAAGCTATCAGTAGTTTCCTGGGAAAGGCCTTTAGACATGGAGGCTCATTTTTCCCTTCCTTGTCTTCCTAAATCTTTTCCTTTGGGATTAATGAAGTGAGCCACCTGCATGTTTTCATCCTAGACAGATTAGCTACCCATATCTGAAGCCCCATTTCCAGTCCATAGGTCATAAGTTTTGACCTAAATTTTGTTGTTGCCTGATTCTGGCTAGTCCCTGGTCCACTCAGCACTAATTAGGAGCGGTGATTCCCGTTTTTGGTTTGGGTTCCGCAAAAAAGAGAGGAAGAAGCAGCCTCGTGGATGTTTGTGTTCGAAAGTTGGGGAGACAGAGTGTATGAAAGGAAGTGTCTGGGAAAACTCCCACCTCATAAGGACATGGTCTCCATTCCTTTTAAGTACACTATACTGCAATTTCATACATGACCTTCTGCCTGTCTATCCTTCCACCCAATGCTTCCTCTTTCATTGCTGTTTCCTTATTTTTCTTCTTCAACTCCTTCTCTTTTCCATATATTGAATTTTTCTTTTTTTAAAGAGTTCCTGCTAAGAATGGGTGATGAGGCAACTTAAAGAAGGAAAACTAAAAGGAAGTTACATGTTTACAGACAACTGAAACCCTTTTATGAAAAAGCTCTCTCCCTTACTTCTATTGCTTAAATAGGTGGTACACAGTAGTCAAAAGATCTGGATTAAAATCTTGTGAAGAGTCTGTTTAGATCATTGACCCATTCAAATACATATTCCCTTGCAAAATAAAATCTAAACTTATGACTTCAGCATATTTTTTTCTGGGTTTATTTTCCACACTGAAGATGGTGGTATAAGCTACTTGATGGCAAGGACTACTTTACCTGTTGTATTCGTATTCAGACCCCCGTCCCCATCACATGTTAAATATGTAACTAGAATTGAGCCAGGTTTTGCTAACAGTTTGCTGTGTGATTTTTGGAGAAATACTTTTAACCTCTGTACAACGGTTTCTCCAGCTTCAAAAATGAATATAATAATATCTCAATCCATAAACTTTATAAGATCTGTCAACAAATAAAACTATTGTATTAGTCAGCTCGAGCTGCCATAACAAAATTCCACTGGCTTAAACAGCAGGAATTTAATTTCTCACAGTTCTGGAGGCTGGAAGTCCCACATCAGGGTGCCAGCACGGTCAGTTTCTGGTGAGAACTCTCTTCCTAGCTTGCACCTGGTGGCCTGCTCACTGTGTCCTCTCATGGGAGACATCTCCAAATACAGTCACACTGGGCTTTAGGGCTTTAACATGAATTTTGGGAGGGGTCACCATTCAGTCCATAGCAACCATGATAAAATATGCAAAGGTATTTAGACCCTTAGAATAAATTCAAAACTCATTATTCACTTTGGATGCTAATGATGGAATGTAGCCATGCTGTGGCTCAGAGTTTCACGGTCTACCTGCCCCAGCCAGCTTGAGGCCAGGAAGGGGCCAGAGGTGATTTGTGCTTGACCTTATGATCCTCTATGTGGCAAGCAAACCACATAATCTATCAGCCCTCAAATGAATAACTGAAGTTAAATGCAGAAAAGCGTGAACTCCTGGAACTTACAGTCAGGGCCAGGATTAAAGGAGGGAAAGGAAAATGTATGAACGCCTGAGACAATGCTTACTGACCATCTGTCCCGTGCGAGGCACTGGGGAAAGGCCGAATGACATGGCTCCTGACTTAGTGGAGTTCACGGTCCAGGCAGGGATACGGACCAACTATTTCAACAGCCTGGATGGGGAAAATACCTGTGTTCCCTGAGAGGCTCCCTAAGGAGGCCACGCCTCGGCTGAGCCACGGAGGGATGAGGCAGGCGCGGGGCCGCGGCACTGGCGTGGGACCACCGACTGCCGCAGCCCCGCAGGGGGCTGGGGCTGGGCCACCAAGAGCGGGCAGACCTGCTGGCACCGACGGTCAGTGTCCTCCTCACAGCAGGACCACCGCAGACCAGACTGGAAACTCCCTACGCAGCAGGCCACTTCGAAGGCTCGCAGGCTGTTTATTTCGGTTTGTGGCTCAAATGAGGCACACGTCTTACATTTTTCTCTCAGGTCCCCATTTCCAGGCCTTTTGCTTTTTCACTCTCTGCCCCTGACAACCTTCATCTGACAAGACCCTCTTCAGGTGCAGAAACCAGGAGGAAGACCCCAGAGCGGCTGGGGCTGAACCAGGGGAGCAGTAATTTGGGCCGCGGAGCCTGTCCCGCGGCGCCCAGCCGGAAGGCCCAAAGCACTCAGCCGGGAGGTAAAACGGAGAGAGTCACTACTGCCGGACGCTCCTCAGCCTCTTACTCGCTCTCCGCCGCGCAGCCTCAGCTCGCTCCAGGCCCAGCCCAGCGCTTGATTGACAAGCCGGCCCGCCCAACCCCGGCGCGACGCAGACAGCTCTCGCGTCAGGGGTAGGCGGGAGGGGGCGGTAGAGCCTATCAGATTGGGCCAGGAGGGGGTTTCCTGCCCGCGAGGACCCGCCCGCCGCCTGGCGGCCAGTCGGCGCTGCAGCCCCGCCCGCCCGCCGCGGGCACCCCGCCCCTCTCCCGAGAGCTACGCGGCGGCTGAGCGGAGGCCTCGTGCCGTAACGGCCATCGCGGCGACCGCGGCGTCGTCCCGGTGCCCTCCTCAGGTGAGCTGGCGCCGCCCGGGCCCGGCAGCGTGAAGGCGAGCCGGCCCTGCTGGCGGGCAGACGCGCAGACAGCCTCTCCTTCCTCCGTGCGTCCACACAGCCTGTTCGCTTGCTGCGTCGCTTCCTCTTCCCCGGCGAAGTTAGCCCTGGGGGCGCCGTCTGCCGGCCCGGAGCTGAGCCGGAGGGGGCGGGGAGGCCGCTCGGCCGGGCCTGGGCGTTTGTCCCGCGGCTTTGCGGGACCTCCGGCTACTGCCCCGGGCGGCGCGGCCCCGCGGCTTCCCTGGCCGTCCCCGCAGCGCCGGGTCGGGGTGAGCGCCCCGGCGGCCGCCCCTGCGAGGCTGGGAGGTCGAGTGTGCGGCGCGCGCGTTCCCTGTGTCTTTTCCTCCCGAAGAAGTCCTGTTGCCTGTCGTGGCGTAATCCGAGGTGGGGAAGGTAGGGACGTGGGAGAGGAGGAAAGGGGCGCGCTCAGCTCCATCGGGGAGCAGGGGAGGGAGCCTTGCCCGGCGCCGAGGGTGGACAGCCTGGGATGCGCCTCTGCCCCTCCCCCATCCCCACCCCCCTTCCCCTGCCGGTCCCCGGTTCTCGGGAAATCTGGGTTATTTGAATCGTCTGGACCTACCGTAGATTTGTACGCAAGTTGCTTGGGCTGTGAGCTTTTGGCTTGAATTGTTGTATATCCGGGAAAAAAAAATTGTCTCGGTAGGCTGGTTTTGTAACCTTACGTGTTTCCCTAAAAGTTAAATTTGCCGTTAGAAGCTCGGGAAGCTGTTCAGGGCTGAGAACCGTAACATTAAAGGTGCTCAAATCGTGTTGAACTGATGAACTGGTCACCTAAAAATAATTTTATCCGTTAGATTTGATAAGAAACCATTGGAGTTAGGCAAGAAGGACGTTAAGGAGGATTTTCTAACCACTTCTTGGCTGGTGAGCAAAGAAACTCAATGTCCGGTCAAAAGGGGTAAGTGTTGCAAGAAGTATTCATTTTTGAAAATCTTACTTTGGTAGATTTATGAAAAAGCAGCCCTAGAATTTATTAAGCACCTGGAAACCACTGTGCCTCAAGTTTCCGTCTGCAGTGAGGTCACAAAGTAAATGGGAAAAAAGTCCAAGAAGGAGGTTTTGTTTGTTTGGGAATTGTCAATAATGTTCAGTTCTTAAATAGGCATCCCGTTTACAGTTTGATAGTAACTCCAGAAATATTTATTGGTTGATTAATGGTGGTTTGATTCCATCTTGATCACAACCTCTGGGATCTTCTTTGGGAAAATTGTGATCCGTAGGAATTAGCTATAATATTTGTAAACACTACTTGCAGTGTTCAAGACTCCAGCTGTGCTTGTTCACGTATTAAATTTTGAATTGTTTGCTTTATTTTTCTAAGCATTATCTTTTAGTCCAGATTTTACCAGTGCTTTCAGGCCAGTGTAAATAGAACTTGAAGTGTACATAGACTGTTTTGTTAGATATTGAGTGATACTTTATGCTGCTGGATTTATTTTTCTTTTGGACCTTTGAGAACTTTCCTGCCAAAGCTCAAGTTAGATTTGATGTGATTATTGTTATAAAGCACTTGTCAGAAAGACTTGACTTAAATAGAGACGCAGTCTCTTTTTTGGTCATAATTTATTAATAACTTTTACAGTTTGTTCACCTTTATCATATGGCAAAATACCGAATATTCTCTACCTGCACCAGAAGACTAAATGATTATTTGTATAGTTAGTAAGTAAAATTGGAGGAAACTCTCGAAATCACTAAGCAAGTCGACAAGTTCTTCATAAATACTTTGCTGTTTTCAGAAGACAACTGACAGGGCCAAAAATGACATTTAAAGATTATTTAATTAAGACAACAATTTTATCTGGATGATCTTTACCTTAAATTACTTCAAAGGTAGAATTTTTAGTCTTCCCTTCAAAAACTGTTGCCATGTGCTGATTTTTAAAATTTAAATTTTTTTTTGCTGAGGAAAATTCGCCCTGAACTAACATCTGTGCCAACCTTCCTCTGTTTTTATTGTGTGGGCTGGCAGCACAGTATGGCAGCTAACAGAGCGGTGTAGGTCCATGCCTGGGCACTGAACCCGGGCTGCTGAAGCAGACCTCACAGAGCTTAACCACTACGCCACCAGGGCTGGCCCTCCATATGCTGATTTTGTTTTGGTGATATTATCATGCTTTCAATTACCCAGACACAAACCTTGGTTTTATCTTTTACTTCCTCTAGCCACATAACTTAACATCGGTCAATTTTTGTCAGCCATTTTTTGAAATTTCTTTCGGGTATTTGTTCTTTTCAGTAGCTTTAGTTGAATTTTCTGCCTGACTTTTCTCCCTGCTCGGTGTGTCCTGCCTTCTGCCTTAATCTTAAAATAATGCTTCGAACATGTCCCTCACTGTTAAACCAAGGACTGCTCCCTGTTGTCTACAGAGTATATAGTTCAGAATTCCTAGCCTTTTGACAATCTGTTGAAAATGTGTTTTTTCTAATGACAGCATTCTCTCTCTGTGGGAGCTGTCCACTTTAACCAAACTAGTCTCTTTTAGTTAGATTTTGTATTTTTCTGCCCTCATATCTGTTGAGACTTTGAATGCCTATGCATAGCCTGTCTATTCTTTAAAAGAAATTTTCCCTCCTCAATTATTTACGTGGCAAATGAAGTCAAGTTTTGTTGAAGTTTCATTTTTGGTCCTTCAGTGCAGTCTTCCAGATCTTTCTGTTCCTTGTGCTGTTGCTTTCCTTTGAACCCGTAGCCCTATTGTTTTATCATTCCTTGGTTTTTCATCTTATGTGGGCTTGTATCATAATATGGAACAATATTGTGAGAACCGCAGAATCAACCTTCTGTTTTATAGATAAGGAAAATGAAATCCATACAGAGTAACTGCACTAAAATTCACACATCTAGTGATACTGACAGACCTAACATGCAGGCCTTGATTTTCTACTTGATTTCCTAACTCAAGTTCTGTGTATTCTTTTAATGGTTCCTGTGTATTCTTTATGAAGCTGCACTACTACTTATCTCTTGTAATGTCCTTTTGAATCGTTTGCTTCACATTACTTTGCATTTTGTATATTTATGCATTCTCATATAGATTCAAAAATTCTGTATGAGGGCAGGGAAACCTTCATGACTTGCATTGTTTAAATCATTGAAACAATGATTTGAAGTCTACGTACAGTTTGTTTGTTTTTTTTTTTGAGGAAGATTAGCCCTGAGCTAACTACTGCCTGTCCTCTTCTTTTTGCTGAGGAAGCTGGGCCCTGAGCTAACATCCATGCCCATCTTCCTCTACTTTCTATGTGGGACGCCTACCACAGCATGGCTTTTGCCAAGAGATGCCATGTCCACACCTGGGATCTGAACTGGCGAACCCGGGCCGCCCAAGGGGAATGTGAGAACTTAACCGCTCGCCGCCGGGCCGGCCTCTACATACAGTTTTTTTTTATGCTTGTTAGAAGTACTAACGGCATTAACAAAAATAAGACTGTCATCTCTACCGTTGAGTCCTATGACCCATTAAAAAGTGAATGAATCTTTTACAAGTTTTACTGCTGGAGTTCAGTTGTCTGAATCTCTTGATAGACTGAATCTTTGGGGGCCTTGAAAGTAAGTGCAAACAATGTAATGGTTTGGAGGAAACCCCTGAGGGCTTATCACATACTAAATTTAATGACCTAGCTAAATGTTCTTTTTCTCTTTTTGATTGTTAGAACAGTAACAATTTTACATTTTGCTACTTTGTCATCTTGTTCATTTGTCAGGAACCAGATTATTGAGCAATCTACTTATTGAGCAAAACATTCTGAAAATCCTATGTTCCATTTGAGGAGTTAGAGAGCTTTTATATATTTGTTCTTCACATATTTTCCCTCTTAACTATAAAGGTTCTGTTAATAGCAGTGGCATAGGGTTGCCCTGGTACTTTTCTTACATTTGGGTCTCAAGAGTTGACTGGTGTAAGAAAGGTAGCAGGAAACTGTCAGGGGAAGCATCCCTGGAGGGAATGCTTTACTCTTTTGGTCTGAAACAGGTTAGAAGCTCTTTTTCTTTTATTTTTTGTTGTTATGATAGCTTGTTTTTATTTGTTTAAGTTATCTGCTAAGATAACCTGTTGAAACACTGATTCTCTTGTTCTTTATTCCTGAAATTGTACTTAAGTATTGCTGAATTGGACAAAAGTATGGTATGAATAATTTCCACTTTGGTTCAAACAGACCAGTTGAATAAAGCAGTGAGAATATGGCTTGGGGGAAAAAATGGATGCATCTAAAAAGGTTTTTTTTTTAAGAATCAGCCTTCCAAAAATTTCAGCACGTACTTCCAAATCACGTGGCATTTAGATCAACTCAAGTAGATATAACAAAGAATTTCATATGTCTTGTACTTTTTAAGTATTCCACCTATGTTACAAAAATGTTTTATTAATTAATCAAGGCATTGGAAACTTTTCCTGGGAAATGCTTGATCACTCTAGGTCCGTGTTCTTGAATGATGCCTTTTTTTTACTTTTGGAAACATTTAGAATACTTCATTTACAACCCCTGCCCCCAGAATTCTCCTGCCCGAGGAAGTCAGTTGCTTCAATTTTTCTGTCCCCCCTCGCCAGGTTCTCCCCTTACAGGCCTCCTGTGATTTGGCTTTTGCCTCCTTCTAGCTATGTCTGTTGCCGTTTTCCCTTTGCCTTAGGCTGCTTCTTGGGCCTTGAATAGCCCAGCTCCTTCTTGCCTTGCAGCCTTTGAACATGCCCTTCCTCTGGGCAGGTGGCTCCTTTAGGTTAGTTAGTATTAAGTTTGGTTGCTAGTAACAGTAAGACACCAAATAATAACTTCTCTCTCACACCAGAGAAATCCCGGGTATATGCATGACACTCATTTATTAAGTGTTATTTCCAGGTTTGTTTTTTTTTTCCTGTTATAAGTAACTCCAAAATAAAGATCCTTATGTATAAGGCCTTAATTTTTTTCCTTTTGATTAATTCCTGTTGTGGGATTCA